GACCGACAGACAGACAGACAGACAGTCAGACAGACACACAAACACCTCTTCAGCATATACAAGTCCACACAAGCAGCGAAAAAAAATAAACACAAGCAGATATAGATACAAACAATTAATACTCATACCCACACAGACAGATATACACACACAGGCAGACAGACAGACGGACGGACTGACGGACGGACAGACTGATAGACAGACAGACACAAAAAACATACACGGACGGACAGACACACAGACAGACAGACACACAGACACTCACAGCTAAAACAGCTCCTGCTTGCCAAAAGCAAACACGGAGACAACAGCTCCTGCTTGCCAATAGCAAACACGGAGACAGATGCATAGACACATAGCAGACACACATCGACACCTGCATTCAGAGACAGCCTTCAGCTCGTGCTACCAAGATCATGACGCGCATCCTGTTGCAAGTGTCTTGCGTGCCTGTCTCGCGGCACTGAAATTTCGGCACTCAAATCCTGATGCGCTTCCTCTTGCAAGCCGCTTGAGTGCTTTTCGAGCGGCCCTAAAATCGGATGCGTTTCCTCTTCAAAGCCTCTTTTTTGGGACATGCTCCGGGTACTAGAATTTGGAAATTTTATTACCGGGAGATTGTCCCCCTAAAGCTACCAAAATTCTGAAATTTTACTACCGCGAGATTTCCTAAAGCTACCAAAATTTCGGAAATTTGAGTACCGGGAGAGAAGTGCTCTCGGTGAAAAAATTTCCGAAATTGTAGCACCGCGAGACAGGCACGCAAGAGGATTTCAAAAGGAGGTCAGAAGGGGCAGGGCGTAATGCGACCAAACGGGCCTTGTGAATCCGCCTGCGCACCTTTTGTCGTCGGCGGCGAGAATTGAGGTGCCACGCGTCCGATGGAGGCGCTCCGACGATGGCAAAAATCGTGCCGAAAGGCAAACAGGTTTGGGCAATGCTTCTCTACGGGAAGCTCGATCCAAACCCTGGAAAAGCAATATTGTTTTGTATATTTGCGTATCTTGCTAGGTATGACCTCCCGAAAACCGAAGATATAGAAATTTCACTCATGAGAATAGTCTAAACTCCCCTTGAATCTATTTTTGAACTCTTCTAATACAGACGTATATACGGACGACTTCTAGGCCCAAAAATGTCGCATACACCAATTGAGATCCAATGGGCCCCAATATCCTCGACCTGTTTCTTGCAGCAGCCGCCATACCTTTCGTGTCTGGCTCGCGTGGAACCGGGGGACCCGACAGCGTCTGTAGTGAATCTGCACGAAATGAATTGAAGCTGGGTCTCAGGCCCGAAGTTATTCAAGCCGACCAAAACCCCAAAAGAATCCTTGCAGGCTCCGGAAGAGCGGTGTGACTCTCCAGGTCCTCGAAGATTGTCTGTCTTGGTTTTGCATATAAGCTCCAGGGTATAAGTCCTAGGCTGATTTAATTGTTGAGGGTGTGGGGCGTGGGGGTTTGTTACTCGGTTTGAGGTTTCGGAATTTTTTCGTACTGTAGTTTCATCCATGCTGATTTCAAGGGTGTTGAGACAGATCGGTTTAAGACCGAAGGTGTCTTGTATTTCATCACTTCAACAAAGGCGCACTTCACCCCAGGCAAAATGTCGAGTCTAGGTGCTGAATTCAAGCTTGAAAACTTCGAGCATGCAAGGGTTGTTCTAAGCTGTGACCCCGTTTGGGGGTTCTGCTTCTGGTCAGCCTTGGTCAGAACCTCTACACTCGTCTACGTTGATAGAATCTAGACACCGCACTTCAAGGCCACTGAACTCTGAGCCCGGGAGTCCGCGTCTGCAGAAGCATCCGCAAACCCTACAACCCCGGTTTAAAGCCCTGCACCCTACCTACCAGATCCTTCAATCCCTAAGCCTTGAGCAAATGAGTCTCACACCCTAACAGCCCTACACCTCAGAAGGATCGTCCTGGCAGATCCGCCAGCTATAACTTGACAGGAGTCTGGAAAGCCGTTGTGACTTCCCAGCTTCCCGGCAAAGCGCGGTCGAGTAGACTCGCCACACCGGACTTCGGGCTAAGCAGGTTCGGGTGTCGCGGGTGGAGGATTTAGGCTTGCAAAAGTTCAGGTTGAGAACCTACTGGTTCTGAGTGGAACGCATTGTCGATAGACTTCTGGCTGCCTCGTGCTTAGAATGTCAAGGCTGGGGATGCCGATTGCTGACTGTGTCCGTTCTCGTCGCACGTCTGAACTGACATTACACTTTGACCCGAATCTCTATTCTCTGTGGCAAGTCGTTACCACACTCTGTGCACGGACTACCAAGACAGAGGTCACAAGACCTCAAGGGGGTATCTATACAAGTTAAAAGCCACAGATGTGGAAGTTTTCAACAAAAACGGGATGTAAGGAGCCCAGCTTTGCTGGCTCCAGTCTGTACAAGTAGATGTTGCTAGAAGCCACGGAAAGCTGTAAACCTGAACCTTCATCTGATTTCCTGCTGGCGCTCAGATGAGGAAGTGTTGCTTCTCGACATCGGACTTCGGGGTAGTGGGGGTCCGGGCGTCGCTCGGCCAGGCTCTCTTCTTCCACCAACACAGTGCCAACACAGCCTGACTGGCCCAATTGTGGCACGGCATGTTTAAGTTTGTGTGGCGATAGGGTAACACGGACTTCGGAACGGCATATGCAGTTGACTTTGCCCGCTTGGGTAGTTTAATGATACCACCAGACTACATGAACCGACTTTGTTTCTCATCCGTCACCTCCGATACTGCAATCCTGTAAATTCACCTTCATTGCCCCACTGCAGAAACACCTGGGGGCCGCCTATCTCATGCACAAGCGAAGAGAACGCAGCACCGCTTCTGGAGCAAAGACAGCGATGGGGCTTCTGGCTTCGATTTGCTCTCAAGGGCTGTCATCACACCAAGGACAACAGAACAAGCAGTCGGCATGGCACGATCGTATTCTACTGTATTCAAGAGAGTAGTAAAACGTATGTTGTTTCGCAGAGCTTCCGCGCATCAGCCACCTAACTTGCAGACCATTTCGGCATTGCATGTTTAGACTCTCCCTGGCAAGGTCAATGTACTGTGTCTACATGCGCAACCAGGGGAGTTCTCTATTGCCGTTTCCATAACCGAAGGATAGCTACACATGAAGAACCCAGGTTTCAGATACATCGTGGCCTCGTTTCAGAAGTTCAAGTCCAAGGAGAAGCTCTGAGAGGATGCTTCGTAGCTATAAGCACTAGGCGCTTGCCAAACTTCGTGCAGGAGAAGTGCTGCACTAGCTCAAGCCATGTCGGAGATGTGGCATTGCTCCGGAATTGTTAAAGTGGAACCTTCATCTCTCGATCGCTTAGCTTCTGTACGAAGGCAATGGGAAGTCGTAACATCCGATTGAAACAGCTTCTCAACCGTGATGATAATGAACAGTCATGTGTCAATCGAGCAACAGACCCGACACATCTTGAGCAACTATAATAATTAAACTCGAACCATCAAGTTCAGATACGACGATACCCTCCTTACTGCATGCATGATGGCAGGAGCAAGCGCACCTGTACTAGACTCCTAGACAAGTACTGGTGCACAACGTGGCGATAGGTCATTTACTGCTCGACCTGGGAGCGTATTGCCGCAGATTCGTATTTTTGAGTTGGTTGTGATCTGTTTATCGGAGATGTAGCAGAGCAGACTGCGGTACCAGCCCAAGCCGTGTAGTTGCTGAACCAAGTGGCCAGAAGCGCCAGGGATACTACCAAAGCGCAAACAATCCAAGTTGTTGGGGTTGAAACCGCCGCCATGAAGGTGCCTTACAACTGCCATGGACAGAAGGACCCCGGGTCCAAAATCAACTGCAGAAACCTACAGCAAAGTCCTGAAAACCTGCTATAACCTTAGTCCACTTCTTCAAGGGCACCAGCTGGGAATTATGAGGCCAATCATACGAGCTTACGAAAGTCTATACAAGTCCCAAATGTTCTGGCTGTCGCACTTGAAGCCGGAAGCTCCTAGGCACCTGGACTCTAAACTTCTAATTTCGTCTCAAGGCTTCGGGGCTCTTGCAGCTAAATAGAAACTTCCACTGTGGCGGGAAAGCGCCATTGCAGATATAGCGCCGGGTATGCGCGAGTATGCGCGGGTATGGGCGGGTATGCGCGCGCGCATTATGGGCGGATATGCGCAAGTATGCGCGCGAACAGGTATGTGTGGACATGCGCGAGTGTGCGGGAGTATGCGAGTATGCGGGAATATACGCGCGGGTATCGGCGAATATGCGCGAGCGTGCACTGTGGCGGGAAAATGCGACTGCTGGTGGGGGGTTTAATTTTGGGATGCAGGTATGCGCGAGTATGCACGTGTATGCGCGAGTATGCGAGAGTATATATGCGCGAGTATGTGCGAGTATGCGCGGATACGCGCGAGTATATGCGAAAGTATCCGCGCAGGTATGTGCGAGTATACGCGAGTGTGCATTGTGGCACGAAAATGCGACTGCTGGTCGGGGGTTACATTATATTATATTAATTACATATATGTATATACATATATATATATATACATACATACATACATACACATATATGTATATTATATATACATACATACATACATACATACATACATACATACATACATATATATATATGTATATATATATATCATGTTTTAACATTTTTATGAGAGAATGAATATTGCATACCGTATAATGCATATTATGCATTGTACATCAGAATCTACACAGTATATGTTGCATACTAGTGAATCGTATATCATATACCATCTAGGTTGTATGTTTTTTAGTAGGGAGTACCATGGTCTGCGTTTTGTGATAGCTGCTATACAGTGTAGTGCCACTCCGGCGTACTCGAGCATATTTTTGGAGCATACTCGAGCGTATGCGCGAGTACTCGAGTGCAGTCGCCCATTGCATCCCCAATAGAAACTTCACACTCGGTCCACCGCGTCAAAAGCTGACTCTAAGACAGAGGCCGTTGACTCTCATAAATGAAGCACCTCAAAGCGGACACTAACAAACCCGACTATGAAGACCCTCCCCCTACCCAAAAGCAGGGCAGAAAAGGCGCTGGTAACGGGATCGTGCCCTGGGTCGGCTGCGGGGCCCGGGAGGCTCGAGCAGCCGGTGCCCCAGCCTAGAGACGATCGGTTGAAGAGTTCAACGCTGAGGTCTTGGGGTTTAGGTCTATAGGGGTTTAGGTTTAAGGGTTCCGGGCTTCGGACTACAGAGGTGAAGGGTTAGGGAAGAACCTTAAGGCTTAAAGGTTTCCACAATCCAGATTCGGATTTAGGACTGGGCATGTACGACTTGGGGTTTAGATTTAGGGAAGGAGTTTAGCAATGTCGATCTGATGGGCAGCCTAATCCGAAGCGTCATCCTCGACTTTGGCTTGTTTAGGATACCTGCTCTTAGCCCCAGAATGATCTAAGTACAGACTCGCATGGGTTTGCAATACAGTTTAAGGTTCAATCGCATGGGTCCTCGGCGGAACTTGTGTAAGTTTCAAGGTCAGAGGTGCGCGGATCGTGTAAGGCCTTGTCTGGACCTGAAGGGCTTCATGCGCTTTCGGGACTTCTTTTCGGGAATTTCGGCGTTGGGTTCCACACCGTTCTCTTTATGGTTTAAGCTGCGGGTAAAATGCGGTCCAAGCCACGAACGATGCGCCGACAGCTGAATCCCGGAAGCTGAATGCTCGCTTGAATTCCCTCTGGCCGGATCCAGACCTAGCGCTTTAGGGTTGGATGGGTGGCATATTGGAATGCCGTCTACGCTTATCTTGATATCTTCAGGCTGTGAAACAGGCACGGGTATTTAACCAGTGCACCCGACCTCTGCGCTCTAGCTGTTCAGGCTTGCGTCAGTGAGAACAGATATACTTAAGTCAACTCACAATTCCGTGCCTGTCTCCCTAGATCCCAAACCGGAGCCTCGCAGCGCGAGGCACTGTACTCCATGCCGACACAGTTTGCATCCCCCTCACAGAACGCCTGACAGCTGTCCTTAGCTCCGACATGCATGCATGCATGCTGCATCGACATGCATGCATACAGAAAACATGCTTACATACATGCATGCGACCATACGTACATGCTGGCTGATATACGTACGTGCATACATGCATACATACATATATGCATGCGTGCATACACACTTACCTGCCTGCCTGCATAAATACGCACAGAGAGAGAGACAAACACATAGACATAGAGATGCTCGCTCGCACACGGTCGTCCTTAAGAACTGAACAACAATCATCTGATTCCATTTGGATCCTGAAACCTTCACGTCAACGAAGAGGCACGGGACAGGTCTGTCGTAGATGCCGAGGCTCGATAGACTCGGCGTTTCTGACATAGTAGTACGTAAACCTTGGAGTGCTAGAGTCTATGGGGTTGCGGATGTAGGATTCTAAGGTTGAGGGTTTGGGATTCAGGGCAATTAGGCGGGGGGGGGGGGGGGGGGGCGTGTTGACAAGATCCTGCGGTGTCTTCTCGGCTAGTGCCTCCGGCTCCAGGAAACACAGTCCACTACACGCGGTAATGGCGCCGGTTGCAACAGAAGTTTGTTCATAAGTTGGGGTTAGCTTATTTTCTTTGCATTCTGTTGCTTGTGCAGCCGGTCATTGCCTATGATTCGACTCTGTCGTAGGAAGGCTTGGGCAACCAAAAACGATAGAGGATCCATGCTCGATTGATGGCATGTCTCCCCGCAAAACCGCCAGTCAGTCTTCAAAGCCGGGACTCGGTGAGCAAACATTCCTCCCTGGCTTGACAGGCCGAATCAGGGTCGTACACCGTCCCTGCCGTCATGAGAATGCTCAGGGAGCAACTCTCACTGAAGAGCCTCCAAAGCCTCTAACCAATGCTTGAGTGTGTGCTCGGTTCTCTCCCACCCTCGAGACGCAAAAGGCAGACGAGCTAGGCTTAACAGGTTGTGGTTTAGGGCATTACGGCATTAGGGCCTCTAGGGGGTTTGCTTCTACTTGGTTTGCGACTTCAAGCGGCGAGTTGTCGCCCGGCCCAGTTCCACGGCCTGGGATGAGACGGGGGATTTTTGCAGGGACTGCCTTTTTTGAAGTGAAAGACTATTCAGGGGACCTCTGCCTCAGTTCGCCGCCAGAAGCTCCTGATTGTAGCTGGATGGAACACACCCTCATGCCTACACTTAGGCTAAAGTCTAAAGCCACCGTGACTTTCTTTACACCCTAAATGCTGAATTGGCCCCGAAACCATTCACCGAATCCAGGCTTAAACATTCGCCGGAGGCATAACACTGCTGCTAAACGTGTGTACTGAGAGTCAGAGCGACAACGGATTGCTTGAAGTATTCGTGGACTGGATATGATCAGACATGATCGCAGTGATCTTGTGCGTGCATGTTTAGGTGCTTGTGTAGCGCTTGTATCTGTAGGGATATGTCCGTCTCTGTCTCTCTGTTTGTCTCTGTCTCTCGCTCCCTCTATATTTGTACATAACGCGTACATCTACATTAAATATACAGAAAACACATCGATACAAACCGTGTGCATGCTGCATGCGCGCAGGTATGTGTATCTGGGATAAACAGCAAATCCACCCGGGCCGGCCTATCTCGCTATCTACCTTATGACTATGTATTTACACCACCTTCTGTCGGTTGATCTTTCTGTATCTACAGTATAGTTGTTGAGCGGCCTCGTCGTGTCACGTGCAAACTGCAAGAAAGGTCTCTGGGGCAGTTCTGTGCGGTCATTGTCCAACCCTGCCGCCCCGACACAGTAGAACCACTGGAATGCAGAGGCGCGCAAGACTATCAATATGTCGGCACGGTAATACAAAATGAAAATGTTTGCTCCGAGTGACAAGCTCGTCCCTCCGAGCCATCCACCCCTTCGAAGAAGGCTTGGCATTCGGAGCTTGGTCGCCTCGGAAAACAGGTACACGGTCTTGAGGCTGGTTTCGTGGTAAGAAGTTGCAAGAGGACAAACGGCCTCGTAAGGACTTATGTTGCAGTTGCCTAGACTGTAGGATGGTGTGCTGCGGCTGTGGTGCACCGCTCTTTATGCAAAAGAGCATATGCATATAAGTATAGGCGTCCTCCCACTAGCAAGCGAAAATAGAATCCAGGTCTCTTGACACTACCTGCACGCTTTCACACAGTCCGTCCTCGGGATTAGGAAACCCGCCCCAAATGAGCTCAGGCCAAGGTCTCCTCGTAGACTCTGTCTTTGGCAGGGTCACAAGGGCACAGGGGGTTGTCGTTCCACACAGCTACTTCAGAACTATATCAGCTAAGACTCCAACGTTTCAGTGGATGCAAAGCTCGTCATATACTAATCCGGCTGAATCAGACAGTCTCGATGCACCGTTACAAAAGCCTCAGACTCACACAGGCAATGTAGAGCACAGAGCTTATCGGAAGTCAGCAAGGTCACAGGAAGTGAAGGCATGTGAACCCGGCCAGCGCGATGGAAGCGCCGATTCGATCACGTCGCGTCCACAGCTCGCAGCGAGTGCTACTGTACCTGAGCTGCAACATTCCCAGCCCTGAACTCGAACACTCAAAGTTGTAAGTCTTGAACTCCTTCAACATCAAGCATCTTCAAGCATATGTGCCTTTCCCCCCATAGATCACAACATTCTACACATATATGTTGCATGTAGATTACACGGATGTTTACGTCTGTGTCTGTCTGCTTAGTGCCTGAGTGCAACGGTAGCACGTCTCAAGAAGCTTCAGACACCGCAACTTTTTACTCGATTGTGCTCCTAGGCGCTCCACTCCCACGCAGCTGGGAGTCTCCTCGCAAGCCTCACAGAAGGGTTGACTGTAAGCTTAGACACAAAACCCTGCAAGCCTCGACTCGCAAAACACACACTAAACTCTACCTCACGCGCTTCGCCTCTGTTAAACCCTCAACCATAAAGCCTTGCGGGATCGGGCTTGGGTTGAGACACATCGGGTTGGGAATTCGGATGGCATTTCGGGGTTTGAGGGTTTGGGGCTTTGGGTATGTAGGTCCCCAACAATGGACACATGTAAACGAACTTAAAAAGTGAGGTGACCGCGCGGAGCGGCCGAAATAAATGGCTCGTTTTTGCTGGTGTCCCATCATTTGCAGAGAATTCGTGTGACGCGTGTGCCACGGGGGCCAGGATTGATTATTGATAATACGACGTGGACCGCTTTTTGCTTTCAACAAAATTGAATCGCAGCAGTAGCTGGGGGAAACGAGTCAAGGTGTTCCCCTGGATCTCGCAAGTCACGTGGGGGGCAGCATAAGTCACCTGCTCCCGCAATGTGCCAGTATTTGGGAGAAAACAGTTTCGCGGGTCCTGGCCCCGGCAGTACTTGAGGGAAAATGGAGGCAAGCGATTCCGCCGTGCTCTCGAATCCTCCAGAATCCCGCCAGTGCTTGAAGGAAGGCATGCTCCATGCTGGTCTGCCGCTGCATTCCTACTCGTCTCTGGGCTTTTTTTTGCTGTCGTGGTCACGACCGCGGGGCCGGTGCTCAGTAAAAGCTACTTCTGCGCTCGAGCACAGTTGGCAGCTCCAGGAGTGTGGGCTGGAGCTGTAGGACCGCCATGCGCTGCAGCTTCACAAACATTTCGCAAGACCAAAAAATGTCGTCAAAAGTGTCACACATCGCCTGGCTACAGGTACTGCACCCTGCTTGCGGCTGTCCTCTAGATGCATGCATGAAACAAGTGCCGCTACTATTGATGACAACCTCCCGCCCCTTGCCTTCTTGCACAGTTTCAGGCTGTCCTTCTGGACCACGGCGTAATGCGCGGGAGAGTTGTCCGAAGAAGACTCTCCTGGACCGGCAAACCCCGATTGCGCTTGAACTCAAAATGCCACGCACCAAATCCCAAAAATATCCTAAATGAGTGTCGCTGAACGGATTTTGTCCGCCCCAAGTCATGCTACAGGAGGAATTGGTTTAGCCCGTCGCTCTCAAATGCCATGAATGCCAGGTGCCTGAGGGTAAACTGGCGGTTCTGAGGGTAGGGACGGGGCTTTCAAGATCAGGGCCGATAATCGCATCTCAGCTTGACGTTTCAATCTTTAAACGCGGGATAGTCATAGTGGCTTTGAGCAACACAGCAGTAGTGAATCTGACCGGAGGATGAGCATGGATTTTGCAGAAAGGCGCAACGATGCGGGAGCCTGGCACAGGAAAGAACCTTGCAATATGGAAGCACAGAGAAGTATGCATGATGGGTGCTGTGCTTTGACATTACAGGGTTAGGATCAAGGATCCAGTCTAGTGATTTGCTTAGGATCTCTCGTCGGCTTTGGGGAGGTAGTATCAGGTCTCAGGGAGACTAGGTCATTGGGTTTTCTCGCCGATTAGGGCCAAAGCTGCTTCCATAGCTGCTCAAGTTCTTACGTCAAAAAGCTCGAAGCACCATCACATGCAATCCACAGAAAGCATGTGTTCTTGAAGCGTCAAGTCTACGAAAATAAGGGGCCAGAACTTCAAAACACAAGGCAGACTGGCACCCATAAACCCCACCGAATTTTCGAAGGACTGCTGATCTTCAAACTTGAAAACCCGAAAAATGTGGTACTCTGCTCACTAACCCCCTAAGCCCTGAAGCCTGAACCTGACATGTCCTCTGCAGGCTCGGTCGGTGCCGCCATCTACGGGCTCGAAGAGGCCAAGGTAACTCGGGAACACCTCTTGGATGGCTAGCGGCTAGGGGTCTCAGAATGGCAGGTACAGGTATCATGTCTCCCTGTTGGAGCTTCAAGGTACTCACTGAGGTATAATTGCAATGGAACGGGCTCCGAGCGAGAGCACCCGCGCCACAAGCCACCTGCACACCCTCAAGCATTGCAACACAACATCCAGAGCATTCCCCGTGCAATATACTAACACTTTCTGAAGATTTATCTCCGCAACTCAAGCCGTGGCACAAGCACTAATAACTAACTTTCAAAGCCTGTGCAACTGAACCTGGTCCAGAGCTTTGCTGCGTCCTCATCTACCTGGTGCAAAACTGGAACCCCCAAAGCCTCTCAAAACCCAAGACCCGAAACCCTAGCTAAATGCATAATCACGAGCTCTCAATGCGGCAGAAAAAAGATGTCGAACCCCAGAAAAATCCCGCAGCCCTTGCAGCACCTGCAGCTCTTTGATGCTGCAGCCCCACGGAGTGGCCCTCGTCTGACAAAGAATTCTGACGTAGCGCGCGTTATGCTCCGGGAAGATCGTCTGAACCTGCTTGGGCATAAGGGCTTCGTGCTCGTGGCATAAGGCTTCTGAGATTTGATTTGTGGCACAAGTAATTATGGGGTTTCGGGGTAAAGAGGTTTGAGCCGTGCTGACGATGGAAGGGCACAGAGGTTCAGATTGTCGGACTGTGATCGACACTTTCAATTCCTAGCGCAAATATGTCCTGTGCTAAGAACCAATAATCAATGCACCTTTAAATTGAGAAAGGACTTTAAACTAGAAGTTACGCAAGCCCGGCACTCGTGGTCACGGACTAGCTGTCAAACAGTATGCTGTAGCTCACCTATATCAAAACAGGAAACGCCCACAACAACAAGGCTCCAGAATGAAGCATGCATCTGCTGGATTGAGGTTAGGGCTATTCACGGAACCCTAAAACATCAAATCAAGCACCCCCGAAGCCTAAGTCCTGGACCGTAAGCTCAAGATGCTGCAGTCTTTCCGTGGCCCAGACCTGCCCCTCGTGTCCATTCACCGCCTCTGCTGCCTGAGCTGGCTCTGAGAGCGTGGGGTCAGTGGGGGTTGGGGGTGTAGTGCTGGATGTTGGGCTTGAGAGAACGTCCTGCTTAAAGCAAGTGCCAGTCTCGTTTTGCTTAGTGAGTGGTGATTGTAGGGATGGAGGACGGAAGATTTAGGGTCTCGGATTAAGGTTTGCGTGTCGGGCTTGCCGCCGAACTGCTTTCGCGCAACATGTGAGCCCTAACTCCTGAAACTGCATCATTGCCAGTCAGTCAACCAATTCGGCCAAGCAGCGGTGTGCCAGGGTTCGGCTTCAGTCAACCGCAGCTGCACGGAGTAGGTGCTTGCATAGGCAGCTTCCCAGTCGATAGATACTGCGAAGAGCTCATAAACCTTGCTGCAATTCACACGAGTGCCGCTTCAGATAATCTGTACATATCTGCACCGTGCTGCTACGGCTGCTCGAAAGGTATAGAGGGGCAACCTGCGAAGGGAGCCAAACATATTCAAGTGACGCCTCTGCTATCTTGCAGCAAGACGAAAGGATTTGTTGATCCAACGTTCCCCTGATGGCATGTCTTGCCGGGCATGAAATGAATCATGTCGGCACATGTTCCCCGAAAGTCGGCATAACAGAAGCAAGTTTGAAGTCTGGAACCGAGCAGACCAAACCCTCAAAATGAACAATCTAAATCAACAAATCCTGAAAGCTACGTCCAACAACAAAAAATGACAGAATGGGACGGGCCAACCAGAAAGGCTATGACAAGCTACTCATAGTACGGGAATGATGGATTGAAGCTGGGGCAGGCGGAGGAGGAGGAGCAGCAGCAGCAGGC